TATTAAACAAACAAAACAATATACATAAAAAATCAGATTAACCAAATTTCTATAACTTCTCCATCATTTTTGACACTGATGGCTTGTTCATTAATAATATTCATGGGAAATGCTTGACGACGTTTTTCAATAATATCCTCACGTGAAAAAGGATCATCGAGTGATGAATCTTCAAAATAATCAATTTCAAGATATGATAGATTTTTCAAGTGACTAAGAAATGTATCAATGATAGATACGCAATTGTTGAATGAAATTACTTGAAGTTCAATTGCTCTAAGTGATGGAAAACGTTCAACAAATTTGGGTGCAAAGCTTGAAGGAAAGTAAACATCTTCTAATATTGTTTCGATCGCATAAATTTGTTTAAAAACTGGAATAAGAAATGGATTATCAATAAATTTCGAAGAAATGAGTAATGCAGTCAACATTATAAGATCGAACACATTTGGACATGCTCTAAGTTAGAAAATAAAACAATTTCGTCAGTAGATTCCATTTCAATAGTATAGACCAGAGATCGAAACCGAATCAAGTATTCGACAATTCGACTCAGCCGAATCGAATCGATCCGAATTATATATTGAAGAAAGTATGTTGAATCGAACTGAACCAAAACGAATTGATTGATAATAGTATCAAAGGAATCGAGACGAATTAAATTTTCTTGATTCAACTATCAATAGCGTTCGAAGTCTTTTGTCGCCCCATCGAGTTTTCTATCACATTTATCTTAAGGATTTATCTCAATCTCTTCAAACACTTGTAGTTTTACATCAGTCATTAAAAAGGTCGAATCCGATGCTGAACACGGACATTATTTCATATATCTCCAACGAAGGATACTGACTTTTCCACATAATTCAAAGGTTGTAGATATCTTATCTATCTCTTCCTTCTCCAGCTAATCAATATCGCATATATTTTAGGTAATTATTCCTAAGGTCTAAGGCAATTGTTAACCTTAAATCTGCATGTAAAAGATGGTCCATAAGTAGCTTTACGATAAAACAACAAAAATATTTCCATTGTGTTACATTCTATGGGACTAATTCTTTTCCGTGATAAAAGAGACTTTAGAATGTTTTTTCTATAAGAATATCATTCAAAAAGATTGCTTTGAAAGATAATCATTAGCTTCCACATAGTGAATTTTAATCTTTTATGGCATATAAGAAAGTGCACATAAAGTGGTCAATAAATATCTTTCGGATTCAACTCATTTCTAAACTCTGATATATGCGGCAGCTTTTTATTGTATATAAGTCTTTTTATCCTTATTTTGTTTATTGTAGGCATGCGAAATTAGAACTCGAAAGATTCTTATTCACTATGGAAGCTAATGATTATCCTTCAAAGTAATCTTTTTGAATGATGTTCTTATAGAAAAAAAGCACTCTAAAGTCTCTTTTAGCACGAAAAAAAAACAAATTAGTCTCATACAATGTAACGCAATGAAGATATTTTTATTATCTTATTTCAAAACTACTTACGGATTACTATACAGATCTTAAAAGAAACATCTATGACACTTTTTGCAACAAAATAAAACAAATCACTTTTTGACTTTAGGATGATATTAGTAAAACTTCTAATATGTTTCATTCTCATAGAGATTCGAATCTGTTACATATCATATACCAAACTAGCAAGAAGAAACTTGTCTTTAATCCTAGCCTTGACCTCCATTATTGAACAAATGAAAACAAAAATTGAGTCGAATTGGTTTAAGAAGCAATCGAACTGAATCAAATTCTTTCTCAGAAAAATTAACATGAATAGAATCAGGAGAATCTATATCTTTGTCAAACCAAATCATGATGTTTTCGGTTCGTTTCGACCCTTGTTAAAGACAAAACTTTGGTAGATTTTTCTAGTATCTTGTAAAAGATTTCATTCAAATTATGAAGAATAAGATACCTCTAGAAATATAAAGTATACTCACTGCAAAATAAATTGAGCATGTTTCCATCGATATTTATTAAACGACGACCCAAATTGTATTTGATTTATCGTGGGTAAATGAACAAAATTTGAAAGATAAATAACATCTTCTTGTACATCATCATCACTTATTTGATGAAAATTAACTAAAACAATTATATTAAAAATAATACGAACAAACTCAGTTATTTGTATAAAAAGCAAATTATTCTAACGAAATAGATTAAAAATAAACACGTTTTTTTCTTACCAATATCCAAAAGACTATTCAATAATGATGAAGGAACTATTGGCAATTCTAATCTAAGATATTTGATTTGTTGAAATAAAGGAGAAAACCAAGTAATAGGTGATCTTTCAGATGTTAATGTTATGTATATTCTTAAATCCGTTTCATTTAAATAAAAAAGATAATGATCATCTATTGTTTCCATTGTTGATCGTGTGTCAAAGTATNATCCAGTTCTTTTATTGCTGAAAGTTCCAATTCTCTAGCTCTAACTAGTAGTGAAATACATAGATGGAATTAAAACACAAGCTTTCCTCGAATGAAAAAACTTAAAAATTGAGTGTGAAAATTTGTGTTTTAAGCTCATCTATGTATTTCACTACTAATTAGAGCTAGAGAATTGGAACTTTCAGCAATAAAAGAATTGGATTACATATATATGTGATAAAAATTTTAGCTTTCTATCTTGAGATAAACTATGAAAAGTACCATTAATAAATTTATCCTCGACCATTATTGGATATCCTTTGTGGTACCTCGTAATTCATTAGAAGTCCATTATGGAGACGAACCCTTTATATTACGTGCTGTACTCACTGAGTTCTACAAAATGATCAATACCAGATTCGAAACGAAGCGTCACACTTGGGAACCTTCCCTCGTCAGCCGAATCGAATCGAACTGAAACGAATTGATTGATAATAGTGTCAAACGAATCGAGACGAATTGAATTCTCTTGATTCAACTATCAATAGCGTTCGAAGTCTTTTGTCGTCTCATCGAGTTTTCTATCACATTTATCTTAAGGATTTATCTCAATCTCTTTAAATACTTATAGTTTTACATCAGTCATTAAGAAGATCGGATCCGATGCTGAACTAGGACATTATTTCATATATCTCCAATGAAGAACACTGACTTCCCACATAATTCAAAGATAGTAGATATCTTATCTATCTTTTCCTTTTCCAGCTGATCAATATCACATATATTCTTGGTAATTATCCCTAAGATCTAAGGAAATTGTTAACCATAAATCTGCATATAATTGGTGGCTCATAAGTAGCTTTACGATAAAACAATAAAAACATTTCTATTGTGCTAAACTCTATAAGATTAATTCTTTTTTGTGATAAAAGAGACTTTAGAATGTTTTTTTCTGTAAGAATATCATTCAAAAAGATTGCTTTGAAAGATAATCACTAGCTTCCATGGTGGATCTTAATCTTTTATGGCATACGAGAAAGTACACATAAAGTAGTCAATAAATATCTTTCTAATTCAATTCATTTCTAAACTTAGGTATATGTAGGCGAAATTAGAATTCGAAATATTCTTATTCATTATGAAAGCTAATGATTATCCTTCAAAGTGATCTTTTTGAATAATGTTCTTATAGGAAAAAAGCATCCTAAAGTCTCCATTAGCATGAAAAAAAAATAGTCTCATAGAATGTAATACAATGATTTTTGACTTCAGAATACTATTAGTAAAACTTTTAATATGTTTCATTCTCATAGAGATTCGACCCTGTTATATATATCATATATCAAACTAGCAAGAAGAAACTTGCCTTTAATCTTAGTCTTGACCTTCATTATTGAACAAATGAAAAGCAGAATTGAGTCGAATTAGTTTAAGAAGTAATTGAACTGAATCAAATTCTTTCTCAGAAAAATTAGAACGAATCGAATCGAATCCGGCGAATCTATATCTTTGTTAACCCGAATCATGATGTTTTCGGTTCGTTTCGACCTTTGCTTAAGACAAAACTTTGATAGATTTTTCTGGTATCTTGTAAAAGATTTCATTTCAAATTATGAAGAATAAGATACCTCTAAAAATATAAAGTACACTCACTGCAGAATAAATTGAGCATGTTTCCAATGATATTTATTAAATGACGACCCAAATTCGATTTGATTTATCGTGGATAAATGAACAAAATTTGAAAGATAAATAACATCTTCTTGTACGTCATCATCACTTATTTGATGAAAATTAACTAAAAGAATTATATTAAAAATAATACGAACAAACTTAGTGATTTGAATAAAAAGCAAATTATTCTGACTAAATAAATTAAAAATAAACACATATTTTTCTTACCCATATCCAAAAGACTATTCATCAATGATGAAGAAACTATTGGCAATTCTAATCTAAGATATTTGATTTGTTGAAATAAAGGAGAAGACCAAGTAATAGGTGATCTTTCAGATGTTGATGTTATGTATATTCTTAATTCCGTTTCACCTATATAAAAAAGATGATGATCATCTATTGTTTCCATTGTTGATCGTGTATCAAAGTATCCACTAGGAATCAAAGGCATATATATATTTATGTTCGGTTTGTGTTTATGATAATTCAATGTGCGTAACATGACAAATTCGGCTAAAAAAAAATGAAAAATTTAAATTTCGAATNTTCTTCATAGTCTCATTTAAAAGATCAAGATCCGTCACAAAAAGTGCTCAACTTATCAAACTTTTTCATCTGGCATAATATAGCTGGGGTATGAATGGAAAACTTTTATAGGACCGATTTATCTAACAGCAGTCTCTCTTGTCTAATTTACTATATAAAAATAATCCCGGATTCAAAGAAAAAAGGGACAATCAATAATCATCGCATCAGTACAGATAATCCTAACGCACAAATACTCTAAACAAAAATTTCCATGCAACTCGTATGATTAAGTAATCAACAAACCGTATCTTGTAAAAATATTTACGTCCTGAAATATCAGGACGAGAATTCTCGTCGCCCGTACTCAAAGGGTTAAACAAGAAGTTTTCGAAGATTTATAATAATATGATATAGTAGAATTAGATTCATTATTATGATTCGATGTTGAATTATTCACTGTTGTTGATGGTAATACTTCAATGTCATTAGAATGAGATAATGCACCATAAGAATTTAATGTTGAAACATTAGCAGGAGTATTTGATGAACGAGAAGAAACGTAATTGTAGCCACTTGAAGCTCAATATGTATAAGTGATGGAAAACGTTCAACAAATTTGGGTGCAAAGCTTGAAGGAAAGTAAACGTCTTCTAATATTGTTTCGATCATATAAATTTTTTTAAAAACTGGAATAAGAGATGGATTATCAATAAATTTCGAAGAAATGAGTAATGCAGTCAACATTGTAAGATCGAACACATTTGGACATGCTCTAAATTAGAAAATAAAACAATTTCATCATTAGATTCCATTTCAATAGTATAGATCAGAGATCGAAACCGAGTCGAGTATTCGACAAATTCGACTCAGCCGAATCGAATTACATATTGAAGAAAGTATGTTGAATCGAACCGAACCAAAACGAATTGATTGATAATAGTATCAAATGAATCGAGACGAATTAAATTTTCTTGATTCAACTATCAATAGCGTTCGAAGTCTTTTGTCGTCCCATCGAGTTTTCTATCACATTTATCTTAAGGATTTATCTCAATCTCTTCAAACACTTATAGTTTTACATCAGTCATTAAAAAGCTCGGATCCGATGCTGAACATGGACATTATTTCATATATCGCCAATGAAGGATACTGACTTTTCCACATAATTCAAAGGTTGTAGATATCTTATCTATCTCTTCCTTCTCCAGCTAATCAATATTGTATATATTTTTGATAATTATCCCTAAGGTCTAAGACAATTGTTAACCTTAAATCTGCATATAAAAGGTGGTCCATAAGTAGCTTTACGATAAAACAACAAAAATATTTCCATTGTATTACATTCTATGAGATTAATTCTTTTCCATGATAAAAGAGGCTTTAGAGTATTTTTTCTATAAGAAGAATATCATTCAAAAAGATTGCTTTGAAAGATAATGATTAGCTTCCATGGTGAATTTTAATCTTTTATGGTATCTAAGAAAGTGCAGATAAAGTGATCAATAAATATTTTTCTAATTCAACTCATTCTTAAATTTTGATATATATGCAGTAGCTTTATATCATATATAAAAGTCTTTTTATCCTTATATTGTTTATTGTAGGCATGCGAAATTAGAATTCGAAAGATTTTTATTCATCATGCTATATGTACTTTCACGAATGCCGTAAAAGATTAAAATTGACGTTGGAAGTTAATAATTATCCTTAAAGTAATCTCTTTGAATGATGTTCTTATAGAAAAAAAACACTCTAAAGTCTCCTTTATCACGAAAAAAAAAATTAGTCTTATAGAATGTAACACAATGAAGATATTTTTATTATCTTATTTCAAAACTACTTACGGATTACTATACAGATCTTAAAAGAAACACCTATGATACTTTTTTGCAACAAAATAAAACAAATCGCTTTTTGACTTCAGGATACTATTAGTAAAACTTCTAATATGTTTCATTCTCATAGAGATTCGAATCTGTTACATATCATATATCAAACTAGCAAGAAGAAACTTGCCTTTAATCCTAGTCTTGACCTTCATTATTGAACAAATGAAAACCAGAATTAAGTCGAATTAGTTTAAGAAGCAATCGAACTGAATCAAATTCTTTCTCAGAAAAATTAACACGAATCGAATCGGACGAATCTATATCTTTGTCAAACCAAATCATGATTTTTCCGGTTCGTTTCAATCCTTGCGAAAGATAAAACTTCGATAGATTTTTCTAGTATCTTGTAAAAGATTTCATTAAAAATTATGAAGAATAAAATACCTCTAGAAATATAAAGTATACTTACTCCAGAACAAATTGAGCATGTTTCCATCGATATTTATTAAATGACGACCCAAATTCTATTTGATGTATCGTGGGTAAATGAACAAAATTTGAAAGATAAATAGCATCTTCTTGTACATCATCATCACTTATTTGATGAAAATTAACTAAAAGAATTATATTAAAAATAATACGAACAAAATACGTGATTTGTATAAAAAGCAAATTATTCTGACTAAATAAATTAAAAATAAACACATATTTTTCTTACCAATATCCAAAAGACTATTCAACAATGATGAAGGAACTATTGGCAATTCTAATCTAAGATATTTGATTTGTTGAAATAAAGGAGAAGACCAAGTAATAGGTGATCTTTCAGATGTTAATGTTATGTATATTCTTAAATCCGTTTCATTTACATAAAAAAGATAATGATCATCTATTGTTTCCATTGTTGATCGTGTGTCAAAGTATCCACTAGGAATTAAAGGCATATCTGTATTTATGTACGATTTGTGTTTATGATAATTCAATGTGCGTAACATAACAAATTCGGCTAAAAAAAAATGAAAAATTTAAATTTTGAATACTACAAAAGATTATTTGTCCAAGATATTTCTTGCTCTTCTCTTTTACTTACAGGTCGATTACGTTATTTTTACTAGTTTTCTACAGCTTACTGTATTTCTGCAAAACATAATACGCTTTTTATTTATATATGACTGGATAGAGCATTCATTTCTCTATCGATCGGTATATTTTTTATCTGATTTATCTCTCATCTTGACCAAGAATTTAGC